TATTATCTGTATGCCCAAAATGTTTGTATCGTGACATGACAATAAACTGATCTCAATACCGTTACATTGAAATATGGAATTAAGTTCCCCCCAGATAACCTGGGTATAGTGACAGTGCAAAAATAAATGATCTATTGTCTCAATTGCTGAGTTGCAGAACGTATATAATGAGGTTTCTGTTAATTTTGATTTACATAATGGCTGTTGGTTGTAAAAGGGAGACAATTTTAGACTTTTTATGTTGTAATTGCTGGTAATAGGTTACCGTCATATTTGCTTAAAATATATTCATAGGGAATTTTCCATGTTTGATTTCCAATAGTGAATCCAAAATAGACTTTGATATATTAACATTTCATTTAAGTCTACCGTATTGAGACCACCTCTATCTAATTCTTGAATTATTATATTTCGTTTAATTTTGTCGCGACCATTCGACACGAATGCAAAAAGAAGAGAGTTTAATTATTGATTATTTTGTTAAGTGTTTTTACGGTGGCTATGGTATTTAATATCTTGGATAAGCAAAATGTTTTTATTATTTGTATTTTACCCATAATCGTAAGATTTCGTTTTTTTCCATATCTTCAGAGTCGTTCCGATTTCAGATAATATGTTTTAAAATTGAGTTTTTCTGACGTAGTTTTATTATGCGAAAAATTAATGCCAAGAAATTTTATACTTTTAGTTCTTAAAACTAATCCAAGGACCTGTATTTTCCTATTGAGGTTGATTCCGTTGTTTAGGTCAATAGCTTCGGATTTGTTTTTTTGTCATTTCTAATCCAGAGACCTTATTAGATTTTTTAAGGGCCTCCAGAAGATGGCGTGTTGATTTATAATGTTTCATGAGGCATGTTAGGTCGTCTGAAAAAGCGATTTCTTTTTAACAAATTCATACAAGTATCGTTGCGAATGAAAATACGTAGTGTTTTGATAACTAAGTTGAATGAGATGGTTCTGCTTCGTTCACCTTGGCGTACACCACATTCACCTGAAAACTGAGGGGTTGTATAACCATTATTTATTACTGCACATGAAATGTCTGTATAATATACGGATCCATCTAAAGTTACGTTTTAGTCCGAAAGCGCCAGTACCTTAAACAAAAATTTATGGTTTATACTGTCGAATGCTTTTTTCAAATCTATTGCCTTGAGAAATTGCGTTATCTGTTTACTTTTGGTGTATTCATGTTGGTGCCTATAAACGCCGTTTAATAAGCGTTAATCAGACGAGACAAGAGAGGTTTCAAACGGAGCGAGAGTACTTTACTTGTTAGTTTTACGTCGACATTTGTCAGTATGATAGGTCTCTGGAGAGTTGACTTTTATCCTCAAAGGGTTAGGTATTAGATTCTTCTGATTCTCAAAAGCATAACTTATAGAGTTCAAAAGGAGCGTACTGATAACTGGCCAAAACGTTCGGTAAAACTAGGCGCCTAGTCCGTCGCTTCCTGGCGATTTGTTATTTTTGAATAAATTTAAAGCATTCTGGCATTCCAAGTCTTCTATTTTATATTCCATTTTATGACTTTTATTATCATTTAATTGAGGAAAACTTGGACCTTTCTTCAAAAACAGGTTATTTTTTAAAGTTAAATTCAGTTGTTTTTATTTGATAAAAGTTGTTTATTTTTGGAGTTAGTTTTTTCTAAGTTATTGTTATTCTTAATTGTTGTTAGAGACGTATTTGTCTTGTTGTATTTCTCAAGATTAAGAAAGTATTTCTTTCGCCTTAATACAACTTTTTTTTATGTTTGACTAATGTATTTTCATTTTTGCATCCTGATCTGGTGATTTTTTTCTAAAAAGAGGTATATACCGACGTATATAGCAAACTTTCCGAGGAATGAATCTCGATAAACTTTCCAACGTATGAGAATGTCGGAAGTAACTGAGTCAATGTGTTATCCCTTTACTTTTATCACATGACCTACTTTCTCATTTTTATTTTCAATATCTATTTCTGTAATCTCTTGAGTTTGTAGATGCAGTGAATCTAAGCCATATCTTTCAGGCATTATATGTCTGGTATATTTAAATAACAATTTCTTCTATATTCCTGATTTCACTCTAATGGCTTATTCATACGCTGTGAGTGTACTTGATCACAACATAATTTGTATATAAAAAAACATATTGAAAAAAAACTTTCTTTATCGTCGTTGATACGGCAGAACGTGTAAGCCCATGTAGGCCTATTTGTATAAAACGAACGCAACCCTAATTTAACGATGAAGACAAAACGAACTTGCAACTTTCTTTAATAATAACGCCGCCATTGTTTTTTACAGATAAATCAATAGAACGCATACATAACGCCCCATATCCCCTCGTAAGTTGTAAGTTTTAGTCCCAAATATGTATATTAATAACGCAAAATGCATAGAGTATGACTATAGTGAAGGTCAATTGCTAGCTTAACGTATTAACGTAAATAACTAACGTATTTGTCATTGTATCGTAGACCGTGGGCCTAGGCCTACTTGGTGTCTGTAATTTGCACGTCATGTCAGCTTATTTATTAACCAAAGGCATTGGTGTTATATTTACGTTTATGAGTAAACACTATCTTATAAATCCCTATTGTATTTTCAGCTAAACCGTGTAGTCGTGTATAATCGTGTAGGCTACTGTAGAAACGATTAACGTCAACATGTGGTCGTGTAGGCCTATGCTATAATCAACTCAACGTTTGTCATATATTGTCTTGTAAACGTATGGAACTGATGGGAATAAACAATAAACATTTCAATTATAAACGGTGTTTCAATGGCGTAAACGTATATGGGTAACGTTCCCCGAGTAGAGTGGGCGTTGCTTGCAGCAACAGTCGTTTATAAAATGTCTTTTATGCCTCCTTTTCGCCACGGCTTTGGACTAAAAACTATAGTGCTTTTTCGTTTGTTTTCCTTCATAATACATAATATAAGTCGAACAAATGGGGGTAGAATGTGTTTAAATCTCTGTAGGTATAGGCGTTTGAAAGTTTATTGACCTTGAACAAGTCATATTTCCACATCACAGTTGATGTAATAAAAAAGGATATATATGTATATATGGAAAAGAAGTTTTTGTTGCTTAATCCGATTTTCGAGTACTGGATTTCTACTCTTTTTAAAATGACGTGTTGTTCGTCTGTTTCTTTTAGAAGTCAGACAGCCTTGGTAAAGCTTTACTTGGTACTAGAATTAGAACCAGAAACCCACATTCCTTAAATATGCTCCTATCTTTTCTTTACAAATTTACTTTGTAATGAGTTTATTATTTTGTTGTTTGAAGAACGCCTGTGGTTTATGATTTTGCTAATTGCCTTGATAATGTCTGTGAACTAACTGTGTTTAAAGAGATCATCTTTCTCTGATTCTTTGAACAGACACAAACTATTAATCGAGTTCTATAGTTATCAAATGTTTACTGCACTCATTGCACTTTTGCTGATCTTTTAGTTTTTCCACCTTCCATAGAAATCAAACAAGCTGAAGCTACAAATTTATTTCATTATAAATATTATTAGCACCTGATAAACGTTCTGCCCACAAGTATACTCGAGTTTTAGAAAGTTAGTAAGGATGGAAGTCGGATGTAATAACCAATAATATATCAGCCTTGATTTTAAGACAAAAATACGAAAGAACAGAAAATGTAAGAATTTGGATTATGGGTTTTATAGTTAAAATATTATTGGAAGTAGAGCTTATGGCAGCTCGACGTCACAGAATTAGAAAAAATCGTGTCATTATGGACATGGTAAAAAGTATTGAACACAATTCAAAGATGTACTAATAAGATCGGAATAAGATCATGCTGTACGCAGTGATGAAAAATAAATGCAAAGCGACATCTCTTAAAATTAAAAACGTACTGCATTAGTGTAATAATGTTTATGTCAATATTCTGGGAGTAAAGTCTGCCAAATAGTGCTCTACGGGAATTACAAATCGCCAAAGCTGTCTGATTAAATTTGTTTTTTTTTTAATACAGACTTAATAACTAAATAGAATATAATTCGAATGCTTATCTTGTTTATACACGTTATGAATCTCAAAATGTTTAATATTTGAGACTCAACATGTTCTAGTACAAAATCATTGCAAAATAATGATACATTTCTGACGAGTTTTGCCAAACTATTATGAATGACAATATTCTATGAATGACATGTCACCATTTCATCTTGGTGTTGTTAAGAGATGAATAAAATTAATTGTTGTCATCAATACATGTACCGTTATCTTCTATTGTAATTATATCGTGGCTGTCCATCGGGAGATTTGGAATTGAATCGAAAGAATACACATTGTTGCAATTTTTTCAGAACTAAATGTATTTCTTGTGCAATACTTAATATAAAATTTGTCAAGGGAGTGCTTAGCGATTGACGTGTGAAAGGAGAAACAGTAAGTGTTATGTCTTGCTGATTATAATTTATTTATAATAAAACATGAAAGGTTTTCGATTTATGTCGCGGATTTTCCATGTCAAGGTAACCGACATAAAACTTGTAAAGTCATCTTTTACGATTTATGTATAGATGTTCTAAGATTGCTTTTATTTTTCAAATAATATGTTGTCTGTTCAATCTGGGGATTTCATGGACGTAAGAGTCATTTCTAGAAAATTGTTTTATTAAATATGTAATTATACATTTCTTTCAAAATTGGGAATCTATCAATATAGCTTAGCATTTCAGAATCACCCACATGTCTATGGCCCTTTAACGCGATGAATGGTTGCAGAATCTGGAAAAATCATGTTAATATATCTTGTCAGATGAGAATTGTATGATGTCAATGTTTGAAACAAAATATAATCAAGTATCATTGATATCTTTTGTGGTGTTCGATTCAAAAGCAATTTTTAAATATTGCGTCCTCCAAGAGATAATAAACCTACACGTAAGCAACTGGTAATACCCGTGCCTTGTAACATGTTCAAATGTCAACTCCCACGTACTTGGTTATTATAGAATTATATAATACTTTACCAATATTAGACCTCAAAATATAATTGTATAATTGGTCTGTTCTACTGTATCATTGGTCTGTTCTATCGTATCAATGGTCTGTTCTACTGTATCATTGGTCTGTTCTACTGTATCATTGGCCTGTTCTGTTGTATCATTGGTCTGTTCTGTTGTATCATTGATCTGTTCTACTGTATTATTGGTCTGTTCTATCGTATCATTGGTCTTTTTTATTGTATCATTAGTCTGTTCTGTTGTATCATTGGTCTGTTCTATTGTATCACTGGTCTGTTCTATTGTATCATTGGCCTTTTTTATTTTATCATTGGTCTGTTCTGTTGTATCATTGGTCTGTTCTATTGTATCATTAGCCTGTTCTGTTGTATCATTGGTCTGTTCTATTGGATCATTGGTCTGTTCTTTGTATCATTGTTCTCATATATTGTATCATTAGTCTGTTCTATTGTATCGCTCTGTATTTAGTTTGTTCCATTGTATTATTGGTCTGTTCTATTGTATCAATGGTCCGCTCTATTGTATCATTACCATGGGTCTGTTCTATTGTATCATTGACCTGTTCTTTTGTATCATTGATCTGTTCTGTTGTATCATTGGTCTGTTTTATTGAATCATTACCATGAGTCTGTTCTATTGTATCACTGGCCTGTTCTTTTGTATCATTGATCTGTTCTGTTGTATCATTGGTCTATTCTAATGTATCAATGGTATGTTCTATTGTATCATTGGTCTGTTATGTTGTATCATTAGTTTGTTCTATTGTACATTTTATGTTTTATTGTATCTTTGTCTAGTTCTATTGTATCATTGGTGTGTTATTTTGTATCAATTGATCATGCACCAAGGTGCTGATCTAGAAAAACGACATTTAACAACACGACACGTACTATCTTCTAATGAAGTTTTCTTCCGAAACTTGAATTATGTCATTCAGTACAGAAAAGTCGAACATAACATATTTTCAGGGTATATTTTACCAGGTATGTTTTAATTACGCTGAACTATATATAGCAAATAAAGTGATTCGATATTTGAAGACAACTGGATTTCGTAATTTTGTCTGTAAAATATTACCAAGAATTGTTAACGTTAATGGCACACTTCAGAGAAATAATAGACATAATATTATGTGATATATATGCTTCTAGAGGTATGATGTATTCATTATTGGGGAGTGTAATATCACTAAACACAGAAATTTTACAAGAAATACCCCATTTTGATATTGCCTGAAACTTTTAAAAAATCGTCACTACAGATCAGTGTGACCTTTGTTATTCGCGAACCATTATGATTTTTTTTTGGTTTAGTAACCTCATATGTAATTCTCATATAACAGTTTTCTTTCCTTATGATTCTGGACATGAACTCACGACTTGTTAATGAGAGATTCCAATTTTCTAGAAATGTATTATTGAATGTAAAATAAAATACTTCTTTCCAAGACTTCTTCGTCCATGACCTATACACTTCAACACTAAAAGTCTTTCAGAGTAAAATATAGAACCAACTCTGTTCCGCTCTTCTCTTCTCTGTCTTTCGCCGCTCCCGCTGAGCGTCTGCACATTAAAACATAACTAAATCCACTATTCTCCCCACCGCTCTGCTCAGCTTGTAGTGTGAACGAGCCCTTATAAAGTCAATAAAGTTATATGATCAGTTTGGTATTAATCATTGATTTTTTGTGTAAGAGAAAAAATATCAGAAATGACCAAGTATGAAGAAATGCAGATACAAACATGTGGAAATCAATCTTAATTCAAATGAGAATTCAAAGAATAATTAAAGGCCAGTAGCTCATCTTTTCATGATAGAGAACATTACCATTTATCATGAAAAATCATGTTCAGCGAGATAAATTTTTATCTTCGTAATCCCAGAAAAATTTGCCATTAATTAATTGTTAACATGTGAAAGTCCGACCGTGAGACTGGGATAGAGAAGTGTAATATTTAGTTACCTCATATGTAATGATGTCAACCTAAGTCTTGCGATAAATTGCAGAAAGTATACAAAATGCAATATATCGATTAAAATGAAGGGATGTTCCAAGTATTTTGCTCTCCTTGTCTGAAAAGAAATTTGCTTGCTTTAAGTTTGTTAACTCGATACATCTTTTATGCTCTTTTTCGCACTCATCTCTACTGTACGATTTGTCATAGTCTATCTCCATTTATGAAGCAAAGTAAACAACTATTATGTATCTAAAATGTATCTCTGAAATAGAATTTGTAAAATGTAGTTTATTCTACTCTGCTGAACTCTATCATATTATTCTCTACTACACCCCACTTATCTCTAAAATATTCTACTCTGTACCCTACATATTCTAGATGCTTTGCATCCACTGAATTGCGCGTTTTTTTGTACCCTTCTGTACATACTGCTACTGTCCATTTTTTACGATCTTATGACGAGTCTGTGTTCAGTAACTTCAAACAAACATTAAACAGTAATAGATAAACTAGTCCGGTAAGGATTGTATCTACCTATTGGGTGTATAGTATTTCAATTGGGTGAAGTGATCGGCGATATAATGTCATTACAGGTTCTTGTGTGGTCTAGTAATTCTCGGGAGTGTAATTATCAATCGATGATGATCTCATTATGAGGAAAGGAAGTCTATTCCAAATATATTTTGGGATTATTTGATATAAATTATTGCGTTAAACATTTCGTATTCCAGATCTATCAGAAAGAAGAATTTAGTGGTTGCAATTCTAGTGTGTGAGGACTGGTGACCAAATTCTACTCTACATATCTTCTCTACTACAGTCCCTTAACAGTCAAGCTTATTCGATTTGATTAAATTTACATAACAGTATCAGACAGTATATAGCCCACAGGCACACTCATTATTCTGTGAGATTCCGCATTATTCGCCAGTCGCGATTCATAAATAGTCGATGAGCAAGTGGCATGATCCATTGTGTGACCTATTTTAAACATTGTTCACTGCAACAGGTTGTATGTTATAAGAGGATCGTATTTTAATTACAAACAGTGCAGAACACAACTAAAGAATAGCAGCAAATATAACAGAACAAAATTTCATTAAAAGGTAAACAAATTTAGTATTATTTATCTTTAGTATTATTATTTTGCATCTCATTCTGTGGTTTGAGCTTTATGAAAACCTACGCAGTGGAGGTACTCATAATATGAGCTACTTTGGTATTTCCTGAACACATTATCTCAGACGTCGTATCAAATAAAGCAATTGTACCATCAGTGGTATTAACTTGTTAACTTGATAATAATAATAACAGGACATCTATCTGTTTTCGATGTTGATTGCGGGTTTTACGAAACTTCTATTGTATATAATATATCGATATAACATTTAACGCTTAATCATAACAGATTAAGCAGTGGTGTTAAACCCATCGATAACTTGAAAAAAGTAATATATTATATCTTATCTATTATATGTGTTATCTTTTAGCTGACAGGCTACGACTAAACGACCCATTAAACTATTTAATAGTCGTATCAATAGTATTAGGTGTCACAGTAATAAATTCATAATATTTATTGGAATTTCTTTATTGCCACCTCACGTCATTTCAACTTAACTAATGAGAAATAAAGCTGCCTTTGACAGGTTAAGGACAATTTATAGAGCTTCTGTTTGTTAGGTCATGATTGTATACAAGACAGTCATTCATTTAGTTCACTGTAATTCAACCAACGCAATACATTTAGTAACAAAACACATACGAAGGCATTAAACAGTTTAAGAGACTTTTCTAGTACCATGGTACTTCAGGAGATATATTGCGATCGGACATTGCTGTAAATTAAACAGAAAGGCAAAAAGCAAGGCGTTCGTCAACACTTGCAAAAGCTAGTCAGAGCACTACCGATCAATCGATGAACGGCAGCTTACAACTATCTTGTTGCCCTCAATCAGCAATTGGAACCGCGGTGGCTCAGCGAGTTAGACGCTTGCTCGCTAACCTGAAGGTCCAGGGTTCAATCCCGACATAGGTCGAGATAATACCTTCGAATTTTTCAACCCGGTTCCCCCACCCCCCCTCCCCCTCCCCCTGTCAGTGATGCGTTCGGATGGGACAATAAACCGAGGTCCCGTGTGCTACAGGCTGTGCACGTTAAAGATCCTTCGACAGTTGGAAATCGAAAAAGAGCAGGCTAGTGCTTCCCTCATTGCACCCTACATAGCGTTGCCCGTCTTCATTAGCCCACATGGTGCAGAACAGTAGAACGTAAAACTCCATTCATTCCATTTCTCAATCAGCAATTGCTGTCTGTTGCGCATTTCCAGTTTACTGATGTATGGTTAAATTATACTGTTTTGATAAACATTTTATGAAAAATAATATTAATCTCAGGTGTGCGTAGTAATGATGGTTAATCGAGAAGGATCCACTAAGATAGTAATTCCGAAGCACTTGACACCTTACTCAAGTCATTCAGTTTTTACGGTTGACACTGATGTATAATCTTAGAATACGCCATTACCTTCTGAACAGAACAGAAAGACACACAGGATGATTTGTGCTACAAACATAATAATCTTTACCGGCCAACCTCAATCTTAGATTGTTTATATTCACTAGGAACTGTGAGATCGATCTGTTTAACAGTAGTGTTGTTGTTGATGTGGCATCAGGTTCTTATATGTCAATAGATAATATGGACACGTCAACCTAAACTTTAAATGTAACTCCATGACAGTATGATATTTTTGTACACAAAGTAATCACCCATCTCTCAAAAAAGTTATTTCTGTTTTTCATCCAACATCATTCTAAAACCGCATGCAATAGAAAGTTGAATTTCCTGTACAGAGGTTCACTTTTTATGTGTATTGATGACTCTGATAGCATTGATTTTAGTCTGACGTCTGTGGTCGTTGTAATTCTTTGCAGAAACAGATATTTTGTCAACCAATTGTTACTTAGTCTCAAAACGGACCAAATGTTCACAAATCAAAATTTTAGCCTTCAAAAGACGAATGGTTTTTTCTTGAGACACTGCCATATATAGAAAAGACATCTATAGAAATAGGAAAATAAATTTCTGTTTAAGATATTTTGAAATTAATTATGCGATTTTCGTACAGTTTTAGTACTTCTAAAGACTATTTGCATATGTTCAAGACCCAAATCAAACCATTTAATACTAATCGTTTTATAACGTAACTATCGAAAAAGCTGTTAATAAAATCTGAGGACCATTTGATAGTGATTTCATAAAACGCTTAGTTTCAGTGGAGTTGCAAGAACTCCAGGCTTCTGACTGATAATCAGTCAATACAAATAATTCTATTTAAACACATCGTCGATATGAGTTATAGTAAATCCAATTCCTGTCACATTGTTGTATATAGACGTGTACTATAATACGTAATTACTTCTTCAGACTTTCGATTTTTCTTCGTTCTCTAGCGAATCTAGATCAGCATTTTAATTAGATATATTTCAGTCCATGAGAACTTTTGGAATATCCCATATTACCTTGCTATCATATTCATATAACTTTGGTGCATGTTCCGATTGACAAATTTAATTTCAATAAATAGATCCAACACATAACATACTGATCATGCAATACTTATGGAAAAGGTTTATCATTGTCTTTGACTGAATCGGATAACCTTCAACAACTAGGCCTTAATCCTCGAAATAACATAGAAATCAATCAATTCTGAGATCTAATCAATGTATATCAATACCAAGTTACGTCCATATCAAATCAAAACTGTAATCGTTATTGTATTCACTTTGCAATTTTAATACAATTTTGCTCAAAGACAATAACTCAAAAGGTTGTGAGTCTAACCTCGATCGCATTAATTTCATATTTCTCAAACATAAGAATAAGCATCATAAAAATTCGATCTAAACTGTTGTCTTTATCGCCTGCTGTTTTATCTATCATATCACAAGCTCATTTTCATGGTGGAAAATTGCAGAGGCATTTTGTCCGTTCACCCACAAACAATTTATCTACAGACAAGACAAGTTCTCATTTATATATGGGCTTAAAAAAAGAAGAATTCTAGCGGGAAAGTTAAAAGATGAAATCGTTGTACCTGACGTTGTGGTGGTTTATCTCTTAGTTGCCTGAATGAAATGTAACGAGCATTAAGTTTTGAAATAATGTTTTAATATCTGTTAAAACAGATTTTGCTTGAATTATCTAATACTGATAAATATTTATTCTATATAACCAGATGGTGAGCAGTAAAATACTGTTGATAGAAAATACAAAATATTATCATTATTACAACATTTATTCGTACAAAAGGAAATGCAAACAATTAAATACAAATATAGCAATATATGTATATATATATGTATATATATTTTTGTATTTTATCAATAAAAAAGCCTGATTAATTTTGTTTATGTTCATGTAGGCCTATGTTCATGTATGTATGTATAGTTCATAATGTATAATGATTGCATTGCATGGTTAAATTACTGCGAAAATGTATACAGTTAGCATTTTTCAAGATAACAATGAAATTTAATGAAAATTATGTCTTGCTAGAATCTAATTTTATCCTGTCATATATTTTGAGTAGCGGTCTATAACAGTAGAAGTCGTTGGAGAAATTCTACACAGACGCCTAACACTCTTGTTCCATTCAATGTGAAAGGTTTTTAAGAAATACGTGAAAATACCCCTTAATGACATCAATGAGGGAAATTTTGTCAGGACAGAAGCATTAGCCTGCTCTTTTTCGATTTCCAACTGTCGGGAATATTTAACATGCACAGCCTGTAGCACGCAGGGCTCGGTCTATTGTCCCAACCGAACGACTGGACGCTTTTTTCATGTCGGTACCTCTAACCGGGTTGAACATATCTGAAGGTATTATCTCGACCTATGTGAGTATTGAACCCTGGGCCTTCAGGTTAGCATGCAAGCGTTTAACTCACTGGGCCATCGCGGCTCCCCAGAGCGCTTGAGAGTTAATCGAAATGAACGAAAGTTACTTAATTACTCCGACACACAGAATTTATGAGAGCATCCGTGGGTTGATATCAGAAACTAAATTTCCCAAGTATTACAAATAGTAAGTCTAGCTCACTGGTTGAAGAACTGGCCGGGTCGTGAAGGCATTACTATACATTGTTTTTTTCAGACAAAAACCCAAGAAGTGTGTACTTGTCGGATTATAAGTCAAATAAAACACTTTCCCTTGGGTTTTTATGTTTAAAACACTGTCCCTCACAATGTTCCTAGGGGGTTTTAAATTTCATAAAAAAAACCGGCTGTGTTTTATTCTTAACATAATGAATGTAAAATATATATTTATTTATGTAAATTTATGCTTAATAGACGATTTTAAAAGTTACAAGTTACTAATCCTATGGTATCAATTTTGTACTTTTAGTTTACCGTGTGCCTAAATGAGAATCGGATTCAAACACATTAAAAACATATAAATAATTATGTAGGTTTTTATGTTCGTTATGCTTTTTGGAAGCTGATACAAAACTACTGTACGGATTTGAGTGAAATAAACGCCTAATTATGTCTATTATGAAATATGTCTCCAACGTATTCTAAAGGTTTCAAATAATAGTTTTGAGCCATAACACCAAAACTAGGACAAATTAATTAATTTACAATTAGTACTCTCCGTTTCGAATTAACCCTTTAAAATAAGTTCAGTTTGATCAAGAGGATACTAAGATATAAATATTTTCAGGTATTATTTACGACGCTTTTGATAATGAAAACTTTTTACAAAAAAGCGGAATACCGCTTTAAAAATTGAAATCAGGCCTGAGTCCACTAAAAATATGGTAAATCTATCAAGATGTTTCCCATAAGGTGATCAGAGAAACATCTGACATAATAAATCTGTAACCAATGACTTCCTTGGCCGAGTTTTGAGAGAGAAAAAGTGATGTATGTTAAGTCTCTGATGATTCATATTATTGTCGGAAGAATAAAGTACAGGTCCAGACGACAGATTACAACTTCATTCTAGTTAATTGCTTGACATGAATATTGTAAGATACATGTTTGTCAATGTCTGCCAACGTTTGTTTTGAGGCATCGTACGATAGTTCTGTATTTAAATCGTGATCTGTCTGATTTTCATTAATAAGTTGACGTATTAGTTGAAGTGTATTAATGAATCCGTCAGCATTGTGTCTTTTCTCGTGTACAAACTTTTAACAACAGTATAATTAATTCTTCAAGTTAGATTCCTAATACTCAACGAGAAGAGCATCCATCGTAAACCTGAACCTGAAATATTCATGATCTGTCAATTGGATCAGCAATATCAAATTGTTACAGAGATGATCTCATACGATCTGTTCTTAAGCCATGTGGATTGTACGTAGCCAGAGTAGGAGCCATAATATCCTTGGTGATTTGGTAACCAGCCATCTATGGAAGGACACACTTTCATATATCTGTTTTAAATACCTATATATCGACATTGAGAAACCCGACATTATCATCTCAACCTATGGCGGGATTGAACCTAGGATACCTATTTTAACCACCATCTAACATACAGCTAATGACGTTTCCAATGTTAATACCATATTGCATAAGTTAAATGATATAACTTTGGCCAGTAATTTTTTACAGTTTTAACGTCAAAACTATTTAAAAACATTACATAACGTTTTCATGTTCGTTAGGTGGAATAAAACTACTATACGGATTTAAGCAATATAAACGCCAAATCGTACAGAAATATGTCTCCTACGTTGCCTACATACATATGTAAATAGTCTTCAGAAGAACTAGCAATGTACAAAAATTACACAATTCCTTAAGAAATGCCCCAAACTAGATATTTTTTTTTTTTTGTAAACAATATTTTATTCATATAGAAAAGGATTGGGGAACAGGCTTTCGCCTATATTACCCCTCTCCTAAAAAAAAACCATTACATTATATAATATGCAAAAATTGTACAATAAAAATAAAATGAAACATAGTAATTTTGTTATTTAAGGAATGACCTGAACATTTTTTCAGTTTATC